TACTACTACTACTACTACTACTACTACTACTACTACTACTACTACTACTCTTACTACCGCTACCACTACCACAACCGCTATAACTACGACTACGACGACTACTTCTACTACTGCTGCTACTACTGCTGCTGCTGCTACTGCTACTACTACTGCTACTGCTACTACTACTGCTACCGCTACCGCTACCGCTGCCGCTACCGCTGCTGCTACCGCTACTGCTACTACTACTACCACCACTACTACTACTGCTGCTACTACTGCTGCTACTACTACTACTACGCCTCCTGCTCCTGCTCCTGCTACTCCTGCTGCTGCTGCTGCTGCTGCTGCTGCCACCGCTCTTTCTACTCCTACTCCTACTGCCCCAAATATACCTTTGGTTTTGCCAGTGCTACACGTATTCGCTTCCTCTTGCTACGCCTCTTCTGAGAGTTTGTTGGATGTCCTAAACTAGCTCCACAATGCGCGCCAAAACATGGAATGATTGCCCCAACAGTAACACCTCGCAATTGAAGCTTTCCATGCTGCTCAAATGAACCAGCCTTGTCAGTGGCATCTTCCTGCGGGCAAGAACGACATGTTCCACGCCTATTTTTGCTCAACGAGATCTCCTCGAGTATTCTGGCAACCTGACACGAGGGCTCAGTATGTTCGATGTCTCAGTCACCATGTCTCACTGTCCCTCAAACCTCTGCCCACCTTCAGTGCCTCCTTGAGCAATGCCTGCAAACCCAAGAGCGACTCCTGGCGCGCTGCCCAAGCCCATTGCAGCTTGAGATGAGCGTTGACAAGTTCGTGGCAAACATACATGTCATCGCTGAATCGTGCTTCGAGTTCTGCAAGGAGAGCTGTGGAAGGACAACGCGTCGCCAAAAAACTGCCAAGACCTTGTCAAGGTCCAGGCGATTGGAAGGAATGAGCTGTCAGGCATGTCCCTGTAAGGTTGCTGTGAGGTTTCTGTAAGTTCCCCGCGTTGGTGGGAATAGCTGGAGATGCCCTCAACGCCTGTCCGCAACGGAGCCGTGCTATAGGAGACTGGCTCCTCAAAAAGCCTGCCTCCCATAGCTCTCCGCGCCAAACAGACGCCAAGCCAGGGCGACGAGCTTCGTCCTGAATCATGAAGTGGCCTTTGACTAGATTGTTCTGACAGCTACACGCCGGCCTTTCCGAGCATTACGCAGGACTTGAATGAAATCAGAATTTAGCAAACCTTATACATATAAATATATATCTATATATATATATATCGGCCGACCCCAGCCGATGGCGGGGGAGCGCGCCAAGCAGATTGCCGGGCAGATTGCCAGGCGCCTTGGGAATGGCTCTAGAGACAGACTTTACGGTCCTATAGAGAATGGCTTCTATAATTGGTCTAGAGACAGACTCTGTGGCTCTAGAGCATGGCTTCTACGGGTCTAGAGAATGGCTTCAGTCAGAATGTGACGTTTAGTGGCCGATCAGGTTCGCCTATAGAGAGTGGCCTCATTTGCGACGTTTGGCAGTGGCCGATCAGGTTCGCCTAGGTTTCATACATGTTAAAGCTGTGGCGAAGCAGATTGCCATGCGCCTTGGGAATGGGTTTATGATTCCAACTACAGACTCGATGGCTCGAGGGCAAGTTTTGCGCCATATTCGGTGTGGAATTAGATCGTGCAAAGCTGTGGCGGAGCAGATTGCCGGAAGCCTTGCGAATCTAATGCCTCTAGAGACAGACTGATTGAAAGCAACTTTTGGCAGTGACTGATCAGCTTCAAGTGTATTTCGCATGGAATTAGATGGACTACTCAGGCTGCGGCATCTCCAAAACCAACCATTTTGATGGTTGAAGGTTGCGGGTAGACCATCTATCAGCCACTATAACCATTTTCCAACCACGGAGGTCATAAAGTCAATCACCAAATCGTTCACCCACCATTATAAGGAAACCGATCATTACAGCAACCACTACCGCTAATTAATCATGGAGCAGTTGAGCACCACCCGTTCCTTAAGTTGATCGCCCCCATCCGCCACATTGTCGATCTTTGCGTTTGTGAATCGAGTCCATGTTTTTTTGGAGGTTCTGCCGTCCTTGGGCTGGGCTGGAAGTGTTGGCTTTCCATGATTTTTGGGTCTGCCGTCTGGCGAAGTGTTGCTGTTCCATTATTTTTTCGAGGCTGTCCCCACTTGTCTTCTTGTTTGCGCTTGTCTCCTTACTTGTCTCTCTACGTGATCGGTATTTTGTTTGCCGCTGCTGCTCTATCTCCCCTCTTGTCTCCTTGCTTGTACTTGTCCATGTGCTTGTCTCCTTACTTGTCATTTTTCCTGAAAGAAAGCAGCCATGACCAGCGACTGTACACCTCTCCTCCTGGAGCTTCTTACACAACAGCCTTGGTCTCTTCTACGGCTGGCATTCCACCTTGGGTAAGGGATCAAAAAAATAGAAAGGAAAGCAAAAAAGTTTCAACGGGGATCAAAAAAAACATAAAAAGGGAATCCCAAAACAATATTCTAGCCCCACAGACAGGGCGCGGCCAAGACAAGGACAAGAGGAGGACAATCTGCAAATGCGATGGGCGACCCTTTACATAGTTAGTTTTCGTGGCAGGCGCAGTGCAAGAGTGCAGATTTCGTGGTGCTGGAACCAAACGTTAAAAACACAGCACCACAAAAGAAATCACTAGAAACTATGTATACCCTATCGCCCTTTCAGTGAAGGGCATCTATTAAAAGTGCACAAGAGGACCTAAGGCAACCGAAGCCAAAAGCATTGCACGTTTGGAGGAAAACTGCGGCCAATAAGCTACAAGAGAAAGGACCAAAGGCATCAAAAAGCATCAGTGAAAGAACAAGGAGAAAACCATAGGAAACCCGCAGACCAGAGGACCAGGAGGGCAAAGGACCACGAGACCACGGGACCGGACCAGGACCAAAGGACCACGGGGCCAAAGGGCCTGTGGACCAGAGGACCAAGGGACCAAGGGACCAGCGGACCAAAGGACCAGAGGACCTGCAGACTCCAGACCACAGGGCCAGGAGAGCAGCAGAAGAGGCCTATCAAGGAATATGTTTTTTTGATCCTTTATATATTATGTTGTTTTGATCCTCTTTCTATTTTTGTTGATGCTGTTTTTATTTTTTGTTGATCTAGATGCCTTCCACCCTTTGGCGTCCAGGTCTAAGATATATGCATCACTGTACACCCAGCGTGCGCCGCTGTGCTCGTCTTGAGGTCTGTCATCTGCAGGCAAAGCTTGTTGACCTCACCGAAGCAATGGAGGTATCCTTGGATATCCACTGCCTCTCCATCTCTTCCTAATCCTGCGAACTACGTCAGGATTTGATTCGGGCACAATGTGAATGTTCCCGGGCTTGGAAATCTGGAAGACAGACTGCTTCGTCGTGTGAAGCTTAGAAATTGGCAACGGACTCTCACACACACTTTAATGACTTCGATGCCCGGCCAATGCAACCGCACGACAGCATCTCCTGCATCATCCGAAGCCTTCTTCATCTGCTCGTAATACTGCTCGGCCACAGGCGACCAAAGTGCGAGCTGCACTACCACATGATTTGCATCGCCCAGTTGAACTGTCACCACTTTGCGGCCTCGCTTCCTGCCAATCTCCTTCGGCTCCGCCACGTCAAGCAGTAAACCCGCGCAACGAATCTTTGTTCTGTCCGCTAGGTGTTTGCTTCTTCAAGGCTCTTACTTTTTATACATCAACAGTATCAACAGTCTCTGGCTTGGAAGGCTTCGAGCTGTTGCCACTATATTATAATCCATTACAATCCTGTTTTTCTTGGGCGTGCCACCTGCTGAAGCTTTTGGCACAACTCCCTCCACATTCTCCAGCACACCAACCACAAGTTCCTCCGCGCGATCCTGAAACCCAGCATCCGATCTATTCCACAATCCCAAACCTGTTCACTTGCACATGAGGCGTCCTACGCTATTGCAACGAAAGGCCAAGTTTGAAAAAACTTGTTCACATACTATTCCTGCGACACCGTTTCCGAATAATGCTGACACCTGTCAGCCTGAAGCAAAGTTTAGCATGAGGTGTCCTAAAATCTTCCGAGGACGGGTTCAATGCCACCTCTTCTTCAGGACACCTAGTCCAAAGCATCTAGTGTCCAAGGTCGACAATGTTGTGAAAGGCATACTTGGTTGTAAGAGATTTTGATGCTGTTGTTGAATACTTTCTGTGTGTGTGTGTCTCTTCCATACAATGTGAACACCAAAACCTTGCACCCACTCCATTCCAGTGTCCTGGCATCGCCTGCGAATGAACCATCTTCTCAACTTTTGGCATCTCAACTGGAGAATCCGAATCCACAGTCTCCACCATGTACGTTCATTCATGGTCATACGCCAGCGCAACTTCAAGCCCTCAACCCGATATGATCTTCTCCCCAGCCAACCAACTTCATGTTTACAAGCAAATGCGTATCCTTCACCAAGCGACAACTGATAACACTTTCCAGTGGGACTCCATGCGCAACCAAGTGACACCAAACACTGACACGATCCCTAGTAATCTTCCAGTGCATATGCAACGTGGCCATGAAACATTGCTTTCCAAGGTCTTCCTTGGGCTGGAAGTGTTTGGTTTTCCATAGGTTCTGCCCTCCCTGGGCTGGAAGTGTTAAAAGCTCACGGAAGGAATTGGCTATGCTTAGACCAGAAGCATAATTAGTCGCCACCACAGCCGAAGAAGCCATGCACGAAAGCATGTAATTTTGAATGACATGACATGCCGTGACATGACATGACATGAAGTGACATGACGTGACATGAGGTGACATGACATTGGCAGGACATGTCCTACCATTACATTACATGACACAACGTGACGCGACGTGACCTGTAGTGGCGTGACATGACAAGACATGATGTGAGATACCAAAGTGTAAAAGAACATGCGCTGTGCATTGTTTTGCAATGCAAGGTGACACGGTTGTGGCAAAACATGAAAATATATGTCACGACACGCATGAAGTATGGGCACGGCATTTAATGGAAACCACATGAGAACATGAAACATTGCTTTTGTTTCATGACATTTGTGCAAATTCCTCCGCTTTTGCACAGGGGTCGGCGGCAGGGGGCGTAGCCCTTAAAACCTCAAACCCTGTTGACCAAGAACATCTTCCTCTATTTCCTGAATCTTGACTCTGGGGTGGTGTCCTGAGAAAGTGTGTCAAGGTCGAGGCACACCATGGCCAAGCGATCCGATGCTATTTTCCACTGTTTCATCTGTTGGCCTTGGCAGAGACTACACGAAACAAAGGTCATGTTACAACACGAAGCACCAAGATGTCTGACAATGGGTCGAAGAAGTGTGATGACCATTTTCAGCATTCTGATGGCATAGCAAGCATTGACTTCCTGCACATGGTTTCACAGGGTTCTGCAACATCGGCTTTTGATTTCTCTGAAACAAATGCGTTTGGCTGTGCTTGATTCATTCGCCTTCTCTGAAAGGATCCACTACAACATTTGACCTCAGAGAAAGGGGTCAGGCTCAGAGTGAAGGGCACTTGTTCCACACAAGAGCAATGTTGAGTCAACAGAAACTGTTCTTTAAACTTTAAAGTCCTAAAGTGGCTGTAGGATCGCACTCGACAACTGCAATGATATTATGCCACACATCGGGACGATCTATGTCTGTATATAAATATATGAAAAGAGGGTCAATATTTTTACATTACCTTGTTTAGTTCCTTGAGTTGCCAGGTCCCCGGCTGGTTTACCATCTGAGAGCTCAATGCGTGCTCCTGGCTAGTTGGCAACAGCCAGGCACCATACTTTTGAGCGGTCAACCCAGGTTTGCAGCCTCATCTCGCTTTTGCCAGGCTTCGCTCGTTGAGCCTTCCGCATTCCCTTGCCATGCTACCAGACCCCTGGGCAAAGGCCATTCCTGAGATGCCAACATTGCAAAGCATGGTTTTGGGATTCACCGTGTTTAGCAGTGTTCTTGTTACTATGCCCTGGTTACTAGTAGCTTCTTGTTCCTAGTAGTAAGGCCAGGAGCTACTAGTAGCGTCCTTACTCCTAGTAGCGATGCCCTTTGTTGGTTCGTCATTTTTCCTAATAATAGACCGGGCAAGCAAGGAGGACAATACACAACAGTTCCACAGTCTGCCAGGTCCGAAGCCCACTGCATCTGCTGGCGCTTCTGCTGGCCACCCTTGCGCTGTTTTTTGTTGAAAGCTCTTTTCAATATTGAAAAGATTTGAAAGACATTATGTTTGTCTAGATTAAAGTCACGAAACACAAGTTCAGTGTGGTGCACTCTGCCAGGCCTGTTTTTCGAAGAATTTCAAATTAAGATGTCTGGACGTCCGCTGCCTGAGTGAGCAGAAAACTACGGTGATGTTTCCTTGTTGGTGTTAAGGTACCAGCTCCCATTCTTCAGGAACCTGGTGGGTAGACGGTAGAAATGAAGGAAGCCTTTGCGGGCATCTCACTGCCTGGCCTCCTCCAGCTTGGGAGCAAAGTTATCATCGGACAAGTTCTCCCTTTCTGCAGCCATAAAGAGAAGGTAGCGGCAGCGGTACGGCAGGCCTCAGTGGACATAACTGCGAGGCATGGCCAAACACGGTTGGGCATGGGATTCCATAACAATCCATTAAAAAAGAAAAAACATAAAATGAGGTCTGAAGAATCGATGAATGGCCTCCAGCCTAGAAGCAATGGCCTCCAACCTAGTCTCCAACCTAATTGTAATTGCCGTAAACTTATGTCTTCGGAAATCCCTAAAGGCAGTATCTCGGTTCCCTGACCAATAGCTTCCAATCTTTGTGGAGAGGTTCGCAGAATGTGAAGCCGTTCCAAGATGCCTGCGGTGTCCAGTAGTCGTGCGCAGTGGGCGAGGTTCTGCTGGCGTAGCCAAATAAATGCTTTAGCACTCCGGACTTGCTTCTCACTAAATTGCTGCACAGCCGCACGGCCGGCATTCCAGGCCTTGTGGCAACCACTAACACGATCCTCTGCATCACCTGCTACATTCAGCTCCTCCATCTTCTTCATGGCGTCAGTCAGATCCTTCATCCGGGCCAAACACGCCTTGAGCCCGGAATGCGTTTTGTCTTTCAGACCATCATCTTCCACAAGAGACAAAAGAGCAAGTCGGCAGCGCTCAACTGCTGCCATACTTTGCTGTTGAAGGCGTGCTGCTTCCTTCTTTTTCAGCGTTTTCTCATAGTTCTTCGCAACCGCGAGGTGATGCAGAATTGTATCTTTCAATTCGGTCGTGAATGTGGACTCCAAAGCGGCCAACTGCTGCCAACTACCCCTTTGGGGGGTGGGTAGCTCTTCCAGTCGCTCTTGAAGTTGCCGCCAGGTCTTAGTTTCCTGGTTGCCAATGGCTTCATGAACTTCGAGGCCAAGCCCCATGAGCTTCAGCACTTTGTCAAAGCGCTCCGTGATCGCACCACCGCTGGCCGCAATTTCTTTCACCAGAGGCATGCCCTGCTCTACGCTACGAAGCTCAAGCGGCGATATCGCTGCTGAAAGGATTTTCTCCATGCGATTGAGGCTTTGCGGATGTGAATATCCCATTTGTGGAGAAGTAAGCGCCCTGTAGAGCAAAGCAAATAGTACTGGAGGAGTCTTGGGCAGAAGACAATTGCCAAGCTGATCAAGGACAGCAGCCGAAGGCCACTTCTCAGGATGTGGGGTCTCTTTCAACCAGGACACAATGCATGTCCATCCACCCTCGTTGCCTGCATGAGGATTTCATAGAATGTGCAACACAAAACCACACAAAATGCTTGCCACTCTGTTTACGCGGGAACAAGCTCTGGCTGCGCACCAAATTCCTTCAAAGCTTCGGCTGCTTTGGAAATAGAAGATGCTTCTCCTGTCAGGAAAGAGGCTTTGCTTGAAGGAAATTGAAAACTGGTGGAGTGCCCTGAATCAAAAGCCAATCCTGCTTTCAAAGCTCTTGAAGCAACTTGGCTGAGGTGGTTGAGAAAAACACGACCTCAAAACGACATGTGTCAAGGTTCCAACGCCAAGAACTATCGCAACTTCTCAGCTCTCAAGCTATCAGCTGATGCAAAGGCGCCAGCGCATCATCCATCCAAATCGATCGCAACCCCTGCGGCTGAAACGCGAAGCCGCAATGTCAGATCTCAACATGAGACGCTACTAGTAGCCACTAGGACTCAGGACATCGCTACTAGGAGCACGGACGCTACTAGTAGCTCCTGGCATCGCTACTAGCAACAAGGAGGCAAAAATATAAATAAAACAAAAACACACACACAAAATGCGCTTGGAATCCAAGCCTCACCACCCTGTTGACATAATGCTTCATGGAGTCCTTTGATTGGCTGTCAAGACCTGACCACCCCGACAATGCAAGTCTTCGTCAACAAACTATATATATACCAATGTTGAGGAAGAATGTTTACTTGATCTGTGTGACAAAGGAAGTCGTGTTCCTATCAACCAACTCAACAAGAGCTTTGGCGCAAGACATCAAAACCAATGCTGAGAATCCTCCCCAGGCCCATGGGGTCATACAACTATATACAGTATTCATCATGATCAAGATTGTGGTTGGGGTGTCAAAGAAGTTGAGTGCGGTATGCTTTGTGTGTCCTTTCAAGCTGCGCTGTGACACTGGCACAGAACGGTGTCGAACGAGACAACTTCCATTGTGCCATCATTTTGAGGTCCTGGCAAACTTCTGGAGCTCCCCTGGCAATGTTTTTTGCCAACTGCGATGCCCGCATTGTGACATCCGCCTCCTGAAGAGCTGCGATGCGAGGACTGTACCCAAAATGATATTTTCGGTGCAAAAGTATATATATATATATACGATAGTCTTTGGAGTCTTAGGTGGAGCATCATTAAAGGCTGGTATGATCAAACGCTCTCATGCAATTTCATAGGTGAGTCGGCTGGTGCCTTCGGCCGAATCTCGAGCTATTTCTGAAGTCCAAGCCCAAGAGCCTTCTTGTTTTTAACACAAAGTGCAAAGAATAAGAAACTTAGACCAAAGATCTCAAGACTGTCTCAAGAAGGCTTCTTTGTCGAAATGCAAGTATGTCTTACCTGAACCCTGCAAAACTTAAAAGCGTCTTCTCGAAACAACTGAGTGAGTAGACATGAAGGCGAAGCCAAATGAAGTGCATAAAAGACTAAGCATTCTGATAACCGTTAAGTGTTTTGTCTCAAACGGCGCGGAAGTAGATTGAAAAAATGGTTCTGACTCAGCGATGGCTCTCCTGGGCTAAGTCCTCAAAGCCGTGCGCCTCAAACCAAAAATGACAGACGAGAGAGAGAGAGAGAAAGAAAAAAAAACGAGTAAACACCAAAAAAAAACTGTGTCAAGGCAAAGACACGAGCAATGTACGTATGAAATATGCAAACATGCGGTGATTTAGCAAAAAACGTCTCTCTCTCTCTCAACAAACTGAACCTTCAGACCGTTTACGAGCTTGTTCTTCGATGTGAACAAGGCCTCCAAGTATCGCAACACATGATTTTTCGCATAGATATATAGAGACATAGAAAGAATACATGCTTCTTTCAAACCACCTGGCCTGTGGCACCAGTTCGTCTCTTGAGACACGGCGCTGGACTTCTTCTATGCCAGTCCGAATGATTTTCTTGGCGCAGCGGCGCAGGCCCCAAATAAAGGGTTGCTTCGCTTGCTCTGGTTTTCCACCATGGTTCTCTTCAAAGCAATACAGTAAGTCAAAAAGCAATAGTTTCAGCTGCAAAGGCCAAGGACTATGACAAGCGTTGGGTTGAATCCAAGCTTCGTGAGAGTGCTCTGCCTCTGTGTCCTGAATCAACAAGAGTCTTTGGTTGCACACAACTACAAGTCCAAACAAAACGATCTTTTGGTGACTCAACTTCCTCAACAGCTTCGGTAACCCACTTCAGCACAGTCTCAATGCTGACAGGCTCGACCCTGGCAAAGCACGTTGCAAGGCACCAAAGCGCTATTGGAATCATCCGAACACAACCATTGACCATCAAATACAACATCATAGAGTACAGGCTAACCGGCTAACCTTTGCCGGGGCGCTTAGGAATTCCTGCACGGTACGGTTGGGTGGCAGGAAGGATAGTTTCGATTTCTTGGTGCAGGGAGTGATCTGCACTGTGAGGACGTCTTACGATTTCCGGACACTCCACCTCTTGCAGCTGTTTTTGGTGAAGACGGGCTCATGACGACGACGGGCAATTGGACGAACAGTCAAACAGTCACCAGACTCACCAAACAGATTAAATTCCTTGTATGTGACTTGCATTTCAGCTGTGTCCGCTACATGAGACTTGTTATGTTAGTGCCTTTACTTGTTATGTTAGGCTCACTGTATGCGGCTACTTGTGGATATAATATACACCACAACCTGTCAGTTGAGGCGTAGCTCAATTACATCATCACGTCCACATTTTAAACTGTTAAACGCCCGCCTTCACGTTTTTCGTCGCCATTCTACCGATTCTTTTCCATCTTGATCAGCCGCACTACGACGTCGAAACACTTCTTGATTGACAACCTCATCACCAGTCGTGTACCAAACCTTTCTCTGGTCCAAGTAATTCAATGGCTGCGCAATCTGTCCATCTCAAGTCAGTGTTTCGAAACAAAGGAAAACAGGTGTTTGGGCCCCTTCAACAAGCCCTCTCTTTTTGGGCAAACAAGGCACAGGTACCCGAAATGCAGTTTTCTTGCTCGAACCTGCCAATCCAGTGGCTCTTCAATGGGCATGATGCCTTCCCTCAGATGCCCGTGCCCGTGCTCATTGTTTGTCAATACAATTGCTTTGCTAAGCTCATCTCAGCTTGCTGCGCTTCTGATTCTGGTTCTTTCCTTTTAGTGCCTCGCTCCTGAGATGCCAAGAGCTGACCTCTCAGCATCTTCGTTTGACAATGTCTTCACGTTCTTCTTGTCTCCTCAGATCCGCCCGCTTCTTTGGCCACTTCGCCTTGGAAGAAAGGCAAACCACATCCGTTTGCACTAACAGTCTGTTGCCAAATGTCGATTGAAACATCTGAGAGCAACTGACTCAATGCAGAGAAAATGCCTCGTCCATCCTCAATGCGAATGTGAAATTATGGTGGTTGCAAATTTGCAAGCAACAAAATAGCTGGGGTACCCACATCTTTTCGAGCTTGAGTGGTAGCAGATCGAGCAAATGAATCGTGACTGACCAAGTTCAGCCTGCCAAATTTCAACTGTTTGATACATGCCAAAGTAAACGATCCTCCTGCGCTACATAGAGTGACACACAGTATGCCACTCTGCACTGCAATGTCCACAAAATGTACTCCGCTCTGGGATGCAGACAACGCAGCTGCTCTACTTTCCAGGCGCACACCTTCTTCGTCAGCCGGAAGTGCCTTCAACGGCGCAAACAAATTCATACAACCAGTGTCTTTGATTCCTGTCTTCAACAGACTTGTCTTCCTTTCCGTGTTTTCTTCTTTCCCTTCTTCCAACCTTTCTTTTCCATCGTTAGTTCTACGTGCAATGCCAAATGTCCACACTCGCAAAAATAAAACACCTGCATTAATGAAGTTGCTGGAAGCCTCAGCCATCGATGCTCCTGGTGCCGGTGATGCCGCTGGTCCCGTTGGTATACTTGTTGTGCTCACAGTGCTTAATGCTGCTGTTTCTTCTTTCTTGTCCTTGGCGATGCAGAACAACAATCCTAAGCTTAAAAAAGTAATGTCAACTCTTACTCTACAAACCATTTCTTACAGCGAGGGTTCTTTTAGGTAGGTTCTTTCGCCTTCGGAGGATGTGTTTTGCAAAAACGTCGCTCTTTCTACTTCCGACTCTTAGCACTTAGATTTGCTGATGTTGATTCGTATGGTTTGAAAGGAAAAGAAAATCCTTCTGGCAGGCCAAATGTCTGTCTCTTTTAGATCTGCAAGGAGTTGAGCTAAGCTTTGCCTTGGTGACGTTTGCCCAAAATTTGAGAGTAACACTCACACAGACACAAGTTCTAAATACACCAGGCACGCCGGATCACTAGGACATCTGATGCACTACCTTCAAGGATTAACGGTTCATCCTTGACTTGGAGACAGGGCAAAAAGAATGATTGCATTGATTCAAGTCGAATTGCAGCGGTCCGTTGGCAAAATGGTTTCACGTTTGTGGTGACGCCATCTGGAAAGGTGTCTGGCTGTGTTGTCCGGCAAAGCAAAGCTAGTCAACAGCCAGGCTTGCCAGAAAAAAAAAGTGCAAGAGCACCTGATATTGAGAAAGTTAAACATGAGGTGCACCACACCAAAAAGTTAAACGGCATCAACGTTTGGGAACTATATATAGAATATGTATGTATATATATAGAGATATTAGTATATTTATAAAACATAATCATATACTATAGCATATATTTATATATATGTGTGTGTATATTCAACACATGAGACCTGTTTTCTGATAGCCTACCACGTGCCGTAAAACCTACTGGAAAAGCTGCACAGGTTGGCCTCAGGAACCTAAGCACCTCCACAGACAAGCAGGAGAAGGGCACTTCCCGGTGGCCCTCTGTGAGGAGCAGAGTCGAAACCACATCTGGATCGTATAGTCGAGGCAAAAACAGCATGCAAGTCTCGTACAACTCAAATCCACTGATGAGTGGCCTCAGGAAAACCAACTCATCGAGAAGGTGATCCCACGGCACTCCACTCTGTTGACACAAGTGAAGATCCCAAATGACTTTGTCATTGTGCATTACATGGTGGTAAAGAACCATAAAACCAACCACCAGGCCCCCAAAAGTGAAGCACCCTGTAACCCTGAAACACCCCTTCCGCCCCAAAAGACACAGAGAGAGAGAGAGAGAAGAACGTTGACAACACGGCGCCGCTAGCGGCGGCGTTGCCATAAGAAGCTTCTCAGAGCTCCCTTTACCGCTGATCTAAGCTGGTTACACAAATGGAGTTGAAGCGGCAAACTGGTTGAATCAGGTGACGAAAATCGTGTGAGCCCCTGTTCAACTAACCCTGCCACACACAATTTGTATTGTCTAGGTTACTTAGTTACTTCAAAACATGCCAAACACCCGTTAAGTTGATATGTCTAAATGTTCTGCTTGCGCTTGCGTGCATACTTACATAGTCGTTATGTCTTAATAAATAGTTACATAGTTCGGTGGAGTTCAGTCTCTTGTAGGATAATGTAAATGTGTTGTTCTCATAACAAAATACGTCCTAAGTAACTAGGTAAAGAAAAGTTACAAACGGGTTGTTATATATATATATCGGACAACTTCGGGTAACTGCAACTTTGCTGGCCAAGGAAGGGGCTTTGGAAGCTTTTGCTCACCATGCAGTTCAGCTACCTTGCACGTAGTTGACAAACTCCCAGCATATGTTCCTTGACCGTTTGTGCTTGATGGCTTTGAGCTTCCAGCAGACAGTAAAGCTGCAACAGCAACTCCCACAGCAGGCACCACCGGAGATCGTGTCAACATATCCCTTACCTGGCAAACCCAAAAAGGCTTGGAGTATATTCTTTCGGCTTTGCGCAATTCTGGCCTCAGAATCTGAGATTGCACGAAAGTCAAGCCCTTGGCTGGCAAGTCTTGTCACCCCAGACTGACCGAAACCTGCAGGAAGAAAATGTGGAACCAAGCTGAGACACGGGCTCCAAATGGGATAGCCGAAGCAAAGAGCAATCTCTTGACCTGCCAAGTGTGCTTCCTCAACTTTTCTGCAAACCACGAGACAGGCAACTCAAATACCTAGCTCAGGGGTCGACCAACCAAAGTCCGATGGTGGGAGAATGAATAAAACTCTGGCCTTGCTGTTGAATTTCTAAGAAGAATCAACATGGACATTTTGCCCACAGTCCACGTTGATGCTACGAACTAGGCCACACGCATGCTGAGAGGATCCGTCTTGATGCTGATGGCCTTAGTTGCATTCCGCTCCGGCCGGCCCGGATGCGCAAAGCCTCAGGTTGCCAACACTCGTCCGTGGCAGAAGGCCATCGTCCCTTCGGCCTTGTGTGCTCAAGCCTCAAGAAATGAAGGTCTGAGCGGCAGCGGCTTCGGCAGCGGCCGCCGAGGCTTGGCGGAAACAGTCTTTGACTCTGGCCCAGGGAAAGATCTGCAGATAGATTCTGGAGATCAAGGCCACTCTGACTGGCTCGCCTAAAGGATTCTCAGGAAGTCAACACAAGGCTAGTCTGTCTAGTCTGTGAAAACCAAACGAAAATGAAAATTAAAGTTGTGCAAGTACTTGTGTTCGGTGCAAGTAAGACTGTCTCGGTGTGCGGCACGTAGAGGAGGTTCACTAAAACTGCCTCTCTACAACAAGACAAATAGGATGTTCGTTGGTGCGTTGGAAGTGAACTCACCTTGTCGCTGGGTGCTTGCTTGATCCATGTCTCCGAGGGGGTTTGACCTGAAGCTCGAGCCCGTCGAGCTCATGGAATAAGTTTCTCGAAACACATGTCACGCAGCGTATATGCAGCTCGCCCTCAAGGCCGCCCAAGGCCCCTGCCCTCGCTGTGCCTAGATCTCAAAACTGAGACAGTGTTGATTCAGCTAAACCAGAATTGTGTCCAATATTAATATTGTCCAATATGTTGCTTCGAGCCTTTTGCTTGAGAAAACGATTCTAAGTACACTGGCCTTGTAGGTTTTTTTCTCAGAAACTCCGTGTAGGGTGCCTGAAGGAAAGGCAAATACCGAAGATGCCAAACCTCACCACGAGTTTGCCAAACCTCACCAGTTTGCAGGCCGAGGTCTCGTGCCTACCAGGAGAGTACAAGGGGCTCAGACTGCCTCAGCTCAAAGACGTCCTTGCCTCTTGACCCATGCGTCGGCGCATGGCTGCGTTGATGGCTTTCCTTCGTAGCAAGGGAAGTCAAAAGAATTGTCTTCCATCTCCCTCTACACTTTGGCCTTCCCTTCTTCTGCAAGGCATCGTTTGCTTCCTCCCGTTGAGCTTGCTCCTGCAGCACGAAAATGGAAACGGTTCATCCACATGTGACTTCTTGAGCCACTGAGTCTTCCGGCCACTCTGGGGTCATCATTTGTAAACATCAAAGAGTGAGCTGAACATCTCGGCAGCCTCCATGCAATCGCATTGTGAATATATATATATATGTTATTCACAAACCAAAAAACAAATGTGGCAGTTGTTTAAAAAAGGCTTGTTACCATTTGTGCAAACATTGCTGGGCGTACACGTCCGAGCCCACGATCTTCCTCACAAGCTGCTCTGTGGCTTCAGCTGCAGCAGCACCACCAGAATCTTCCCGAACAAGCCTAGAAGAAGAAAAAGATGACTGCATTTGTTCAACGCAAACGGAACAAAGGCCCAAAAACCGTTACAAAACACAGGAAAAGAAAGAATTGAAACATATATTTAACAATTATGTAATACATTTAATACATATTACAGTACATGCTACCCCCCTCGGTACCTATCATGCAGGCGCACACCGCTGCAATTTTCCAAGGCAAAAACTTGGGCCACCAGGACAAAGACACGTTGAACAGTTGTGAGTGTTGCACTTCACTCGGAACTTAGATTTGTTTACAGCCAGGAACAAGGCAAACCTATTTTACATGTATATATATATATATGGTACCCCTCTGTACCTACCTTTTGTGTGAAAGCGCTGTGTCTTAGAGTGTTTCGTGCTGATGTTCTATCTGCTGACTATTGTGGTGTGGTGTGATTGTTTATTTTTAAATATCTAGTATATATACATACATTCAATTCAGTGTGGGTATTTTGGCTTTCCTTACAAAACAAAAATACAATAATACCAAAACAGCAGACCCCATGTCCTGGCCTCGGCCACTCTGGAGACATAGGTCTGTGCAGTTTGGTAAACCACAATACCAAAGTATCAATACTGCAAAGCTAATAAGTGACTGTTGTTTTTGCTTTGTTAACCTGTTTGTAATTGGATTGAATCTGGTTTATTGCGTTTACTTTTGATCAAGTATTTTTTACTTATACTAGTGCATCTGTTTAGGTACATTCATTTGTCGTTGTTGTTGATGTTGTTTAAAAATAGACTTGTAATGCTTTATATAATCCTTCGTTTGATCTCAACTAGTTTTAATTTATGTTACTTGAATTTTACTTACAATAGAGGTTATTTGTTTTAATAGTGTACAATTGATTGAAAGGCAATATCTGCTTAGTTAAGGTTTAACCAACTGTAAGTTTGTGCCATTTTCCGACTTGTTCAGTTTGTTCGCAAACAATTGTCATATAGAAATGATTATTCCCAGGGTTCCAGAAAAAAAAAAACACATGCTTTTGGAATGAAAGCGTGTATATCAACGTTATTTAATATAGAAGTGACCATTCCCAGAGATCCAGAAGAAAGCTTGTAAAAGGAAGTTAGTGCTTAGGTTTTATAGAATACGCTTTGAATAAAACACAATGTTTTTTTGAACACCAAAGAGATTTCAAAACCTATGTGCTTTAGTTTTTGTGTAACTTATTGTAAGTTGCCTGTAAGTAGTGTTCATTTTTGGAACTGAATGTTAATGAAATGTATATAGTTGTTGGGTTGAGTTTTCTTGTAACGAAATAATAGTCTAATTGGTATTGAACTAAATAGAGTCTTATTTGTACAATCGATTTTAGTTTTACAACAACTAATTTAGCCTTAATTGATGTTTAATAATGAAACGGCAGTTGGTTGCTTTAAGTGTTCTTTCAAATAGAATCTTAATTAAATATGGTTCGATATGTTCTCACATAGACTTGATTTGCCTTTATTTCACTTTTAATTTGATTATAAATTTAAACTTATTGCTTTATTGGTGTTCATTTACTCTTAATTTGGTCAATTCACTTTTACATATGTAGATACTTTATTGATTTCAACATGTATGTTCAATTTACTTTTAGCAAATGTAACATAATTTTAATTAGTATTCAAATAAACTAGACTTGCTTGTTTATGATATGTTTTCACAATAAATACAAGTGTCATTGCTGCTAAATTCCTTTCAACTTATGGGTTTCAAATATAGTTAAATTGAGTTCAATTCAATTGCATATACTTTGGAATTGGTTTTTGATCAAGTAGGATTTGCTCTCTATTTGGAAGTTAAGTTGAATTTGCTTTTAGACAACGTTAATTTTGTTATGCGGTTTTTATCATCAAATGTTTGCTTTTAAAATTCACAAATGTTGTTTTGAAATAGAATGCAAATATTCTACATGTATTAATTTGTTCTCAAAGCATCTTATATAATATTGTTAAATTCGGATGTAATTAAATGTCATCTATATGTGTCTCAAATGACTTTCACTTTGTATTCAATTCAATCTTATAATTAAACTGATGTTTAATTAGATATATTTTTTGTTGACATGTATTTTCAATTTTATTAATACTGTTTTAGTATAGCTGTGATGAAGGGCTCTTGATGACAATTCTACTTTCACAGAGATCCAGAAGAAATGCGATTGAAATGAAAGCCTTTATTTAGGGCGTTTAATTATTGCCTAGAGACCCCCCAGAGGGCAGCTGTTGAAATGAAAGCGTTCAAATCAAACAAACATTTTCATTTGGAAGTGATCATTCCCAGAGATCAAACATACTTTTGGAATGAACGCCTTAGTATAGAGCTTCGTAATACAAAAGTGATCATTCCCAGAGATCCAGAAAAAGCCTTTTGAAATGAAAGGATTTATGGCTTTTGAACATAGAAAAGACCATTCCCAACGACCCAAAGGCAAGCTTTTGAAACTACAATGTGACAATGTTTAGAGAAAAAGCTGTTTGATATAGAAGTGACCTCTGGCTCACATCTGATAAAACCACACAAAAGGTATGATTTCAAGACAACAGGCAATAGTATGATATAGCTCATTTTGGCGCTCTTTCATTTGATGCAGAAGCATCTGTGATTCCCACTGCCGTTTCCAAAAAGTGTAGGTACCGTGGGGGGGAGAGGTCCATCTGTATAATATACATATACTGTCTATATACAATACATGGAAACAATGAGAAGCCGTGTCCATGAAGGCTTTGAGGCTACGGCACTAGCATAGCCTCATGGCCTGCTAGGGGCACACCACAATCTGCCACAGGGATGTCAATAAAGGTCACACCATAGCCATCTATGTGCCGGAGACCCCAACAAGCCTCGGTTGCAGTTCGTGTTGACTTGCACGCATCATGGGGAAAGCCAGAAACCAACTCGTCTGGCCTTGGGATCACCATCCCAGATTCGTGGATCTTTGCCATCCAGCAGAAAGCTTTGCACTGATGGCCGGGATGCCTTTCAAGGATAGTAAAGGATCTGAACTGTGGATGAGATGCGTGATTTTGCCTCAGGAAGTTTCTGCCAGCATTCCACCAAGAGCAATGCAGCTCTTGGCTTTTTGGAAACCTCATGATTGAGAAAACGGAGATTCCAAAAGCTCAAAAGCCTTTGAGCCTTCAGCTGTCAAACATTGGGCTCCCTACCACATGTTCCCGCAAGGACAGAAAGGCAGCCGATCGAGGATCATCGAAGCAACTTGGCCTGAGTATTGCTTGAAAAGCGCTCCAACGGGAGCCAAGCCAGACCAAGGATCCTGTTTTGAGACAGGAAAAGAAGCAAACAATGCAACAAAAAGAAAAACCTCTAAACTGTGAAAGGAATGTCCAAGAAAAATAAATCTGAACAATAAATCTGAATAACAATAACACAAAAAACAAGCTCTCGAAAAAAGAAGCATTTAAAGTGGAAAGCATTCCTGTAATTAAGGAGCAGTAAGGGGCAAGGCTTCGTGATGATTCTGAGGTTCTTTTCATGTTTGGTTTCGAGGCCCAGGCTTAGAAGGATCCTGATTCAGAAAAGGCCTCGTCATGGGAACCAAGGATCAAAGCAAAGCAAAATGTATATTGTGCGACACTTTATGCACTTCAAACAAATCCTCCGTGCACTTCAGCTTGAGAGCGACACTCAGGCGGAAAGCTTCCAAACAAGAGGTCCTTCGAAATCGAACTTATTCCTCTGTCTCACACGAACTCGTTCCTCCCTCTGTCTCTCTCTCTCTCTGCATCAGGAAAGCTTCTCCTCAGCAATTCCTGTTGAACCATTCCTGAGAATTCTGCCACTGAGACAGTCTCAGCAATCAAAGTGAATGTATATAAATGTATAGAGCGGCAAAAGTGTACATTGGTAAAGGCATGTTTCTGACACACCACAGGTGTACAACCAGCAGAAACTGGTCAAAGGTTCGTGCCCGCTGCTTGCATCTCTACAGCTACATACCTTCATGGCAGAACATGACAGCATCGCGTGCCACAGCTGATTGCAATCTCAACTTCGGCAATATGGCGAGGTGCCTGGTGATGAACTTCACAATGTCCTTGCCTGCTTTGCATCAAGTGCATTGAGCAATGTCAAACATTGTGCGGTCTGCTCTGTTTTACTTGTGCCTTGCCAGTGCTTCATTCACGTCTTTGAAAGCATGGTCAGGCTTGCAAGTTTTTTTCAGCAAGCGCATAGCTGTACGGCCTGGTTCATCGAAAGCAAATACAACGGGCTTTGCCAAATGATCCAATTCCGGCCTGGTTCAGCCCAGGCCACGACTCGAAATGAGGACTCCTTCATCAGTTCCTCGAAAGACAAGACTGTGAAAATGGCCACGACATCGAATACTTTCTAGAGGAAACCTTGACACGGTTGGGCCCTTGCAAGCTCCTGCAACACAATGCCAAAGACGGCGGCGCTTCCCAAGCAGGCTACTTCCAGATTCTCTCCGAAGTTGATTCCTGTTCAAGATCAAGAGAACAAATGCAAGAAGTAGATACATATAGTAGTAGACAATCAAAAAATGACGAGATATCTTGTGAAACCGAGTTGCCTCCCATGCTTTTTAGATGTTCTTGCAAACGAGCACCCCAATCCCAAGCTGGCCTCATAACTCAACACTATGCGTGGCAAACTGGTGTCAGAAAGCAAGACTCGTGTCAGTCGAGTCAGATCCAAGTAGTATGTGTGGTACAGAGCGGGTAGTCTGCAAATTCGACAAGTTACCAGGTGGCGGCATCTTGATCCGCTCGCAGAATTGCATCTACCGCTTCTTCCTGAAGCGCCACAAAGCGCGTGACTAGCGGCCCTCCTTGGCGATGGCGTCACTTTTCATAGGTGCCTGGCCTCGTCAACTTCCTCGTCACTGGGAACCTCTGTTTGATGCGCCACCCACACGTTGTGTTCAAAGACGCTTCTATCAATCCACCGATCTACAGGCCTCTTCCTTGGATTCACGGGGAGCTTTGGCCACTTTCTTCACCTCAACAGTCAACAGTCTTGGCGGAAGGGAAGAAAAGCTTTGCTTTGGGAATCGTGCTTTTTTGAACGCGCTCCCCATGTGTGCCTTCTTAGCTTGGGAATTGTCCTTTTCCTCCTTTAGTTCTTTCACGGTGGAGAGATTCAGGTAGTCCTCCGAAGCTTGAGGAAGAAAAGTGAGTCAATTCAAAAGCAAAAAGGGTGTATGGCCACGCGTCAAAACTGGGAGGGAATCTGATCGGACCAAATGCGTCTGCCAAGGTGTGGTATCGAGATCTTGCTCTGAAGGGAAATGTGGACGGTTGAGAAGGTCCATGACAATTGCGAAAGAATGCAAAAACTATACGGAGGCAAGTAGCAGTGCGCAGTGGCATGGTCCTGTTATGTCCTGCTTGTGAAATGAAATCATGGCATTACTCCAATTCCATTTGGGGCAGCCTGCTTTATATGCATGTACCAGCTGGGTTTTGTGATTTCTCGGTGCTCAGCTGGCTCGGCCTCGCCAGGCAACTGAAAGCCAAGGGCCTCCAAAGACACTTGGGTCTGACCCAGCATGGTCAACCAACCTGGAAATTGAGCCGCCATGCCACGTTCAACCAGCCAAACCGTTCAAGATTGTGAATCGGAATCTCAACATCAACATTCCACTCCTTTTCGGGTGAAGAAAACCACGCTGATCCGAGAACCTGCGAACAAACAACAACTACAAAAAAACAGAAACAAAACGCATGCAACACAGCAGCTGCTCGGAGCGTTGCCTTGATATGGCATGGTCATATGGGGTCTGTTGCCATCAAACTTCAGCCACTTGTTCCGACAATCCTCCAACCTTCCAAGCGCTTTTGTGCCTGGCCTGGCTTCAATGTTCAGGCATTTCAACAAAATACTAGCGATGGCCTCCACCCTACTAGCGATGGAGTCCACCTACTAGCGATGGCGTCAATGGCCCCCCACCCTAGTAGCGATGGCCTCCAACCTACTTGCGATGGCCTCCAACCTACTAGCCTGCTCGGCCCTGCCCCCTTACTTCTTTCAACAAAATGGCATGACTCACCATCTCAAGTGCGCCTGAGATGGGGCCAACCACGCAGGGTACATGGAATTTCAACCTCCACAGTCCCATTTTCTTCATCCAGAATCCAAACTTCACCACCGGTGTAGTCTCCCAACCTCAAGGAATGTTTGCCAAAAATGCAAAGGCTGGGATTCCACTCAGACTTTTACCCGATGATGTAGCTGGGTCCATGGTTGTTGCCATCCTCGACAGCAAACGAAGAATCGCCAAGAGCTTTCATTTGAATAGATTGTCTCTGAAATTGTTGCATCCCTTGAGGTCGGAGCTACATGCATCTTGGTGGCATAATCCTTGTTCAATTGCCTCGTTCTCTCTGCAAGCACAAAAAGTACTATCAGTGTTCAACATTGTTGTTCAAACCCTAGGATTTGCGGCTCAGTTGTGACTCGTCACTGTTGCAGCACAAATGCGTTGACTAAAGTGGAACAGAAAGTGTGCGATCACTGGTGGAATCTGAAGCGGCAAGGGGCACTGTCGTATACCGAAAGTCTGGCTGCTCTTGTGCGATGAACTTGGCAAGAAGCTTGGTCAGGTTTGGCCTACAAGTGAGGGCTCGGTCGAGAGTTCCAAATCTCCTGACTGAGAACAGGACCAAAGCCGAGTCGGTCTGGAGCAAACAAGGCCAAGTGCATAGTTCAGGACCACTCCCAAAGGAAATGCCTGACAATGTTGTCACTCCCAGCGCATCTTCAGGGGGGGAGTCAGCCAAACTAGTTAAGAATGGATGTGCCGATGTGATCCGATGTGCCTCAATAAATGGAGCTCCATCTGGTCGCACCTCAAGAACCATTACCAGCCTTGGGCCCTGCACAAAGCTTTACATCCAACTCTAGATACTCTGCAAATCACTGCGATCTATTTTGAGGCTTCCACATTGTTCCTTGTGAAGCAATTTGGCCAGGTCTGGCAGGGCACTTACTCAGGCTCACTCCATCCTTCATTCCGTTCTCCGTCTTTCTTTCTCATCTTTCTCTCTCGGTCAGCTTCAGCAAGCGATGCAAGTGTCCACATACAACACGGTCACAATGGATCACGCAACAGTACTCTCAGTCAGTTAGTGCTCACCAAATCCCGGATCAAAAATGCTGAGGTTTTGAAGCTCAACTGATCTGATAAACAATGGCCATGAGTACTTGAACAAAAAAGTTCTGTAGCAAATGGTCCGTCGCAATTTGCTGCCCTACAACGACCTTTGCATTCAAGGACTGAAGGAGTGAAAAAGAGTACGTAGCACCATGACAACATACGTAGCAAGTTTGATGTGCTCACCTTAAAATGAGTGAGGTGAGCACCTCTGCATATTGCTTCTGGAAGTTACGTCAGTTAGCAATCAAAGAAAATCATCAGCAGAAGAAGCAATGCCAATAAGTTTGACAAATATAATTTATCCATGAAATACGACTCGAAGTGACACATGTTGTAAGAAAAGTCCTTGGACAAAAAAAACGGCTTAAACGGCAGAGTCCAAGGTCGGCTCGACATTTCATTTCCGACACGTAGACGACGAACAAAAAAGCTCGAGCAAGTCGTAGCACCGAACAAATATGCCTGTTCTGACTCCCATAAACTCCACACCTTTTCAACTTCCATGGGGCTGCAATGTCGTCTTGACACAGCAAAGCAAGAAGCAAAAAAATCCTCAATTTATTGGGCAACAAACTAGACTGGTCTAAGGGCTTTGTGATGTGTATCTATTACATAGTTCAATATAGTTCAACCATATCATTAAAACAAACCCTTACCCTTCAGAGCATCTATATACATATATTATATATATATTATGATAATGAATCCACTGCTGACTCGCTAAACTGTATGTCAACAGGCTCGGGATGTGTCTTTCACTATATGGCTTGTTGCATGTTCCAAAGTGGCGTGGCGTAGTGTTTTTAGTTTGGGAGCAAAGTCTGATTGGAATGTGCGTGGTTTCTGTACTAGTAGTGTTCAAGGTCCTTGAATTGCTTTCATGATACGTCCTGACCGTTGCCAACAAAAAGAGTGGAAATGAGTTTACAACAAATGATTCGAATGATACCAAGCGACACAAAAGCGCTGATTTGTCTGTCTGTCTCTCTCTCTCTCTCTCTCTCGCCCTCCCTCCCTCCCTCCCTCCCTCCCTCTCTCCCTCTCTCCCTCTCTCCCTCTCCCTCCCTCTCTCCCTCTCCCTCCCTCTCTCCCTCTCCCTCCCTCTCTTCCTCACTCACTCACTCACTCTCTCTCTCTCTCTCTCTGTCTCTCTCTCTCTCTCTCCTCTCTCTCTCTTTCTGAGTTTCTCTCAGTGACACATTGCCAGGTTCATACCAGTGAAGATGCTAGGCTAGATTTGGCAACTGCTAAGCTCTCTGCAATCTGGGTCAATGCTTTCGTGACCTGCCTCATTGCACAAGAGTGTTCGTCACTTCCCTGTACTCTACTAGACTTTGCTGAATGCCAAGTACCGAATACCCAAGCACTCGTCACTAGTCACTAGGAAAACCTTTGCCAGTCTCTGGGTCGCGCAACTCAAAGGTGACTCTATCTGGCACTTCAATGGCTTTGTCCTGGACTCAGTCGAACGTACTTGTCAATGCAAGGTTTCGCTTTTCACGTAGCTGTCAACTCTGCTCTTTTGTGAGTTCCAGGTGAAAATTGGGCGCCCCACCCATTTTACAGCCTGGCCTCACCGCCGATCTTTGCAACGGCCCCTTGGCCGGAGTGCCTACATAAATCCTTTTTGGTGGATTTAGCAACTAGTCAAATTTGGTCAAATCATTTGATCTGCTCGAACATGTGAGACGAAAATGCCGCATTCCAAGCTATGGCTCACTTCGGCTCACTTCGGAATGTCTAAAACTCATCGGTGTCGTCTTCAAAGTCAGCTTCATCCGGATCTGCACCGGGCTTGTCGTACTCAAACAAGGGAAAGGATTGATCCTTCTCCATCGAAATGCTACATTCGCAGACCTTCTTCAGGCGTCCATTCACCTGCATCAACTGCCACAATACCAAAATCAAAATGGAAAATGTGGGAAATAGCTTCTTGAAGTAGTAGTGTCCTTGTTACTAGTAGAAATGCCCTAGTTACTAGTATGAGTAGCTTCTAGCTACTAGTGGTGACGGTGATGGGTCGTGGCGGGTGATGGGCGGCTGTAGGAGTCAAAACAGTAGCTGTAGTTATCTTACTTGTAGTATCAGCTGGTGTCGTTGTCACCTTTTGCAAATAGTTAATTCAATTCTTAAAACGGCGCTTTCTCACCTTGATAGGAGTGCTATGCAAGAATGCGTCCTTTCAGAAACCTTCTATTTTGGAGCTTGTCTTGGCTGCCGAGTTTGTCCCATAGGTGCCATGGCCAAACAAAAGCCGTGCAGAAACTTAAGGCTAAACCAAGCAAAGGTGACATACAAATGTTTTCTGAAGTGTATGTTAAAAGGGGCTTCAAGCGGAACGTGGACGTGCAGTTCTTTGCAAAGGTCATACGAGCTTGCACAAAAAACATATATTATATATATATGTGTGTTTCTTGGTTGATCACCTTAGAAATAGACATTCAGAAATGACTGGTGGCATCACTCTGCAAAGTTCCTACAGCCGCATGTTGGCCGTCATGTCAAAGTCCACTGTTGGCACAGGCCTCGTGATAGCGAAACTTGAGAAGTGGGAAATCCGGCTTCTCGGCACATGTATGCCTCCGACCATCATCGTTCCAACAAGGATGGGATTTGCATACACATTCATCGTTGTCTTCATCGTAATCCAATACTGGATGTTCTGGGTCAACACATCTATGACCAGCACAAACGTCCCTGGAGATGTAGATGGAGCCATAGTGAGCAAAGCTGCTGCATTCACACACCAAATGCTTGGTCTCGTTATAGAAAAACGTCAAAAATGGAAATCCGAACTTGCCACGGCCTTATTTGGAGCGCAAATGCAATCGAGTTTTAGAAAGGTATCCATGTTACACATTCAAACACAAAAAGAGTGCTTCGAGGAAAGTCACAAGTGTGCTCTTGGCCATTGTCATTCCAGCAAGGATGAGAATTGCATACACATTGCCGTGCGTCCTCAAACATCCAAGCACGTCGAGTCTCAATCGGTTGAACATTTGGCAAACCCACATCTCATGTCTCTTTCAGCCGGTGTCCTTGTCATAATCCAGGATCGGATGGGAGGGCTGATTGCAAGTTTGTGCTGCACAAAGTGAAGCCAAGTATTCTGAGTTTGCCAGCAATGTCCGCACCTTTTGACATGTTGGATCAAATTGGCACAACTTTTTGCGGACACAAAGGAGCCATTTGACTATGTATGTATATATATACTGTATATATGTTTGCTTTCGACTCCGATGCCCCGTTGGACTGGAAAATGTGCGCAGGATATGTGTATACACGTCCATGCAAAGGTATGAGGCGTGTCTGTTTGTGCAGAAGTATACATATATGGATGGAGGTGTATAGACATGGGATACGCTGCATGTTGTGCTGCTTATGATCATTGTATCCCTTATTCTCTTTCATGGCAAGGGAAGTTTGCAGCACATCACACGAAGTTAGACAGCTCGAAGCGGATCCAGACAACACCCCAAGCACGTGTGAACCAGAAGCAACTGCAAGCACTAAAATAGAATTTAGCTGGGGCAGGAGTCCAATTTTTTGCTGGGGCCTACATCTGGGTCCAGAATTGAATGCAAAAACGGGTTTTATTCTTGACTTGTAAGTGCGTTTTACATCAAGTAGCGGGAGTTTTGCACATCTTTGCTCTTGGCAGCTCTTGTTGGTTCATGTTGATTCAACATGCGGTCCAAAATGGAGCCAAATTGACCAGGAGAATCAGACATTGGCTGACGCAGGATCTGGTTCAGAACACTGGATGAGTCAACATGGGCCGACATTAGACCAGCTCAAAGCCAAAACAGGACCCTTCACAGGCGCACACGCCACCAGCGTGGCATCAAAGTTGCCAAAATGTCGAAACGAAGAAAACAATGTGGGCTTGGAGGCCGTCGCTCTTAGGTTGGAGGGCATCACTATTAGGTAGGAGATGGTAGGAGGCCATTGCTATTAGCTTGAAGTCAGTGGCTCGGAGTCGTGCCCAAGCAGCCACTGGCTCAATTAGACCCAAAAGTTGGCCTAACATCATCCGGGAAACAATTTCTCGTCGCCACTCGACCAAATTTATACATGAATGGACTTTTTTTAAAGGCCGCTCTGCCCCCCTACCTAGAAGCGATGGCCTCCAACCTAATAGCGATGGCCTCCAACCTAATAGCAATGGCCTCCGAGCCAAAATTATACATGTCGCTTTTAGCTAGTATAGTATAGATGGAAGTGAAAGTTTTAGCTTGTATTTTGTGAAGATCATCAGCATAGTCACGTGCGCAAGCATATCGGTCATGAGTCATGGCATCAACAACCAATTGATAAATCCACTGCCAGGAGCAACATCTTGCCGTTCATTCTGCTCCAAAAGTAGTTCTTCAAACAGTATGGTACTTGTAGAGATGTACCGTCGATCATGACTTTTCGGCGATAACAGTACTTCAGCCAGGCTGCACTACCAAGAATAAGCACTCCACCTACCCAGGGTGGAAGAATGGATCCATGTCAAAAGGATACAACACATACATCGACATCTTGACGGCTTGTTGTAGACTTCAGCTAAAAGCGTGAACTGGCAACGCTATAAAATTCTAGAAACCAAATAATTAGTGCGGGCGCTATCCTGCGTCCAGTAGGTAGTAGCTTAAGTAGCTAGGAGCTAACTCCGTCACTTAGTTAAGTAGGTGCTTACTTAATTAAGTAGGAGCGGGCTGCAAAGAATAAAAAGATTGGATATCAATGATGGTGATTAGGATATACCACCAGAAACAATGCCACGCAGCGACTCTTGGGAATGTTGCTGTAGCTCTATCCTTTGCCGAGCCGCACAAAAGCCACTGCATGGCCACGTCTTGGCTTTCAGCGCACCATGAGGTTTTTGCTGGGGCCAAAGTGCCGCAGTACACATTGATTACAACTTACAATTCACCATCATAATTTCGATATAAAATGATTTAATTTTTTGTCTCAGACAACCTATGATACCCTGATGCACCTCAAACCCGTTACCTTCATTTGAACCATTCCTGCTCCGAAGGGAAGGAAGTCCTCTGCTCGTGAGTATCTGCCTTGGCCGTGGATAGCCTCCAAAGGTGCAAAATCCTGCCAGTCTCAGGTGCAGAATGCGACGCTTCAGTGGACCCTGTGCTTCATCATAAAGCAACAAAAAAGAATGCATAAAAGAGGATGGAGCAGGCTCAACTGTAAGAAACTGCAAAAGGAAAAGCAAGTGTCGAGCAGAACTGTTTGTGTCCAAAGGCGTGCAAATGGCATCTGTACAGTGCCAAAAATGCCCTTGCTCTGGTAAACACTCTCTGGAGAACGAGTCGCCACAACTTCAGGTGGGCTGTCATCCGTCATCCGTGCTTCAAAGCAAAGTAACAAAGCCCTAAGAGTAGTTGCGCCACTGCGCCAATGACTATGCTACGAGGGGCTCTAGTAAAAGAGCGCAACGTCTCGTAACACGCTGTTCGTCTCTTCTGGGTCAACATCCTGGAATGAGCTAGACCACTGTACCACGCCGTGCTCAAGCAACAAGAAGCGCTCTGGCCATAAGCCCAATGAAATAGTGAGAGAATCATCCATATCATCCACCACGACCATATCAAGTATGTCTCTGAAATGTTGCCATTTCTCGAGAAATGTTCTTGCCGCGGAAATGCGATCTTCTAGACATTGGTGGTTTCTTGGAGCATTGGTACTTAAAGGCCAGGAATCAGCAGCATGAGCTTCACATAAATACATGAACACGACCGGACAGCGAAATTCCTGCAGGATCTTTAGAAATTCGGCATCTTTTCCTTCAGATAGCTTTGCAACAAACGGAGGTCAGGATGACGTTGAAGCCACAAGCAAAGCTCGTGGGATGTCGAGCATCTCTTCCAATCCAGCTTCTCGGACGTCGCTGGAATGAATTCGGTGGACAGTCCCGGTCAGCTTCTTCTGCCCCACATCTGCACGGGGATGGAAAAGCCGATCATTGGCGCGAAGGAAGAAGATGTCAGAACGCAGCTCAATGGGCAACGTCCGAGCAGCCCTTCGATACGCTGCAGCATCCTTCGGGTTTCGACCATGAAGTCTTAAGGCTTCCAACTCCACATCTTCATCCAAGCTTGCAGGTGGTACAGACCCTGAGTCATAGTAAGCCTGAGTCTGGGAAATGTAGTCTTCGCTCAAACGCAGAAGTGCTTCAGTACGTAGAATCGGCAAGCACCAGGGATCGATCTGCTCAAATCTTTTCGGCAGCAAATCAGGATGGCAAACTAACTTGCAACTATCCACATCCAAGGATGCATTGGTGATGACTTGGGTCGAAACCAGCGACGGATACTCTATTTCGGCAGTAGTATTACGGGCTTTGGACGTCGCCCAGCCCACTGGTCCAAGCAGATCAGGTGTCTGCAGACCTTTTGAAAATATTCTGGGCATCATCATTCCAACAGAATCTTGATCCAGTGCACGTCAGCGATGATATGTTGGAATGTAAGTGTTTGGGTGGAGAACATTTATCTTTTGGAATATTAGGCCTGCTCTCATTGCGTTAACTCAGAAAGATATTTCAAGCAGACTGGCCTCGCGGCATTGTTTCAGCACTTGATCTCTTTCCTCCTTCAAGGCCTTGTAGCAAGGCTTGACTCCCAACAACCAAGAACGGTTTGAAATCAGGCTTGAGCAAACAGGTCAGATTTAGAACGGCAGATCTGAGACATCAATGACCCACCTGGCACTGTTCTCGGGAGCAGCTTTGAGCACTGATGCTATGAAGCTCCTTCCAAGGGCCAGAGACAAAGACAAGTAAGAAGTCACTTGCAGATTGAGACAGCGCCTGGCAGCCAGGAAGATAGACCAGGCTTAACATAGGGAGAGATTGTTTGTCCTCGCCGTTGCGATGCAGCCGTGAAAAGTCTGAATGACAAGGCTCTCAATTTCCCTGTAGCAGTGGCCAAACCATACCAACCAGGATGAACACCAAAAAGTCGTTCAAGTCCTTCTCTTTCTTTTGTTTCTTCTGCTTATGCGATGGCTTCTCGAAGTAGAATTCCTTGCCGTCAACACATGAACTGTGAATGCAAATGATAGTTCAAACGGATTAAGAAATCCTTCTCGTAAGGATCGTTATCAAATCGCATCGGGGGGAATCCGAGTGAGGCCACTGGCACTCTGCCAATTGTTTCTGTATCAAAAGATTTGACAAAGGCTTCTGTTGTTCTGGTCTTACTTTCATTATGTGGTTCAAGGGAAGGAAAAGGTCAGAAGAATCTGTTCAATCATTTCTGCCTGTCGCCCATGGAGGGAATCATGAAGTTCTATCCGAAGTGGATGCCATGCCTTGAAGTCTCCATTTGAATGGCTGTGTTTGAAAGGCGAGAAGCGGACTAAAGCACATCTGGGGGCCAGACATTCACCAAGGCTTGGAGGCAAGTCACAACATCTGCACGAGGCCAGGGTACCTTTCCAGCTACCAAAACAATGTAAGTGCATTCATTTGGTACAAACAGAATCCAAAGATATAAATTCAGTTCATTGATGTTCATCACTTTAGCACCAAAGAGTCCTTGACATTGACATGTCACAACTCGGTTTGCTCACTGGTGCAGCTGGCAGTGGTTTTCTTTCTCGAAGTGCTTCTGCTACCTGAACCAAAAGGCTAAGGACAGTGTGATCAGCTGCTCAGCTCAGGCAGTCCCCTGCCTGACCCAAATAGCCGCTTGTTCGTTGCACGCTTGAGTTGCCTTTTGAAGACCTTGCTAAATCAATTGGAACATTGTCAATTTCAGGTTGCTACCTAAGAATCTGTCGGCAGCGCCACATTTTCTTCTTCCTCAAGCCGAAGGGAAAACTTGTGAGAACAGCACAAGCCAGCTGTGCTCCGTCCTGGTCTTCAGCATAGGTGATCGTCACAGACGCCAAATCTCTGGCATTGAGCACTGGCCCCGTCGCACGTGCCGCAGCCCGAAACACATCCTGCTCACTGAACTGTTCCAACGCACAAAAACAGCTGACTCTTCCATCCAGGGCTATCCGAATCGAGACAAAACCTCACAGAATTACGTGGGACCAGCGAATGGGGACAGACATGGACCAACTTGATGCGAGACTTGCTTCGTTGCTGTGACCTGTGACGCGCTTCCCGCGGTGGTTTCGATGGCTCCTCCCGCTCTTTGTAAACATCCCCATGGAGTTGTTCAGCTTTTCTCAGCTCAGCAGCTCGACGGGGCATACCGGCCTGGCCAAAATCAGAGGAATTCACAGTCGAAGTTTGGAAAGATCGGATTTCTTGTCTTCTTGTTTTTGTGCCTCTGCTCTGGAAAGGAAGCGAAGTTCATCTGCAAGGATCTTAGCGCACACGGCTTGTCAACCATAATTACCGGTAAAAACGCACAAAAAGAATCCCATCAATGAAGCAAAGTTTCTAGCACTCCAGAAGAACTGCTGCATTGTTTCACCATCGCTCAAACATCTATGTACAAAGCTCAGCAATCACTCAAGGTCACTCAGGTTGTTCAGAGTGCACCTTCACTTGCTCCCAGACCTTCACGAGCAAGTGACGAGGAGGTCAACAGCATCATTGCTGCAACATTGCAACAGGGTGCAACAGCACACCTTGTAGTATGCTTCCCAGAAGCCAATTTCATGGTATGGCAAACCCAGCCTTGGCTAATCTCGGACACTTGCACAACTGGTACCTTTGGCATCCTTAGGCCTCGCTTTCGCTGAGAAACTCTTGGCACGTATTTTTCAGGATCTGCGAGGCTTGCCGCAAGTGGACAAAGCTCATGGCAGGCCACAGGTGATGTTCGACCTCATTTGATTGATGCACTACTCCCGCTGTCACTCCACAGAACTCATTCCTGCCTGCAGACTGTCGCCATGAAACCTGACTCTTTGTGACAAGGAGAGCTTTCGCTCCAGGGGTCACCAAGGATTTCACATTAAAAAGTCCAGCAAGCGAACCACGGGATTACTGAGCCGTAAATTGGCAGTCGTCTGGAGCTGCCGCAAGACGAACTCCTGAAAAAAGAATGAAGCCATCAATTACATAGAAACTACAGTTACTCACTGGGAAGTGCAAACAAATGGCCATTGAAACATGGTTCCTCATCCTGGAAGCTCTCGTCTGGCCTTTGCAGACTTTGAACACAAAGTATAAGTGGCTCCATCGCCACTCTGAAGAGATGCTAAGGCAAGGGCATTAAGAAGTGTTGAACCTGACAAATTCAGCAATTATCCTATCGCTCTTTATGCGCCAAAAAAGTAAAAGCTCGCTCCTCTGCAAAAGGTAGCAGCACCAACTTGGCAATTGCTCTACTGAGGATCAGCGCTGACAGGGCTTGCTGCCATGGCCTCGGAAAGAGAATTAACAAAACGGGGTATCTTTAAAAAAAAGAAACAGAGCCAGTCAGTTCGCGTTCGCATGCCGTTCTTGGACAAGTAGCTGGAAAAGAAAGGCTGCACCCTGGAAGCCCGGACTCACAAAGGCCTCGCCAAGTGCGCCAAATGTCCGCACTTAAGTCGACAGCGATTCTAAGTCTAAGTCCAAGTCGAAGATAGTCTAAGTACATCACTTTTCCAGCCTCGAACCACCAGGAAACTACATCCTCTACTCTGGCAGTGAACTTCTCAAGACCTGCAGGAGCTTCAAAGACCTGCAGGAATTGGAACATGAAAGAAAATAAGACCGAAGAGATAAAAAATATCTAAAGGTCTAAATAGAAAGAGAAGCAAGGAAGCAAGGAAGGTTCTTAAAAATCAAGCAAGTGAACTCTGAACTTTGAATAACTCCGACCAACCTGTGAGGCTCCATTCATGCAAGTCGCAAGCATCGTTAGAATCTCCTGGGCTTAGAAATAAAAACACGAGAGACTCACTAGAATAGGGTTGTGAATATCTGCTGGTATCTGCCATCAAGATTCAGTTACAGGTTCCAGCAAACAGCGAACTGGAAGCCAGTAGAAAACCTCCAGCATTTGAATAGGTGACGCTTCAATCTGAAAGCTAAAATCTAAAACAGTGCATGAGACTTCAGTGCTCTGCCTGCCAGGCATTGTAGGGCTGCCATGCATTGCATGCATGACGCCGAATCCAATTCCGCCCAACAGCAAAAACTGTCCAATCAGGATCTTTGCGAAAGTCATTGGTGTAAAGATGGTGCTCAAAGTGCTGGGATAGGCTCAATGGATTGCCTGTCAAACTTTGTAATTATACACAACTTGCAACTTCATGTGTGTATTTACATATACAGTATATATAGTTTAATTAGAAACAATAAGCTACTAGGAACAAGTGCATCGCTACTAGTAACAAGTGCCTTACTAGTAGTAACTAGAAGCTAGTAGAAACAAGATCTAGTAATTAAGAATTAGTATATGTATGCACAGTACATATAGCTTTCCAGCAGTGCATAGTGCATGACGAGCCTTCATAGTGGTCCAACATGTGGTGGCAGAGCAAGCTATAGGCTCGATACAATCCCCTGTGCAAAGTTTCAGAATAACGAAAGTCCCCGTGCACGACCTGCAAAGGAACAACCCTGACATGTGTGTTTGTGTCATTGGCAAAGTCATCCCGGAGACAAATAGTGACACGAATGAAAATGAAGTCCTATGTTCCTGGCATTTAGAGACAAGGGAAGCAGTTCACTCTTAATGTGCAGCTGTGTGGCACTGTGCAACCCTGCATCCAAATGCCTCCACCAGAACCAGCTACTCAATATGTTCAGCCAAAAGTATCCTCGCACGCAGACTCGCAGTGGGTTGCTGTAGGCCATAGATCTTGGACATCATTAGCCCTTAATAGTGAGGAGTGCTCTCGTCAAAGGTGTGCTGTTGTGGAAAAATGTTCTTTTCTACAGGAATGTCTTTATGGTGAAGGACATCTTACTGACATCTTTTGTGCAAAATGCTCAAACTACTCTCCCCCTCGTGCAAACATGGAGCCTTGCACGTAAACAAAGTAGGTCCAAATAGAAAATAAGCTCAGCATTGAAAAGGCTATAACCTGGCAGTTTCACAGACTTTCGGCAATATGTGTTTCTCTTCAGCTCTAACACTGCAAAACCTTACTCAGTTTTGTGTGTGTTTGGCCTCAGCCCATGGGGTGCCGGTCTTCGCTGTCTTGATATACGCTTCCAACCGCTTATTGAGCTCAGTTCGAATGCGGCAATTAGAAGCCTGACGCATGGCGGGACAAGGGTGCATTGCAATAAACAAAACAACAACTAGTTATCAAAACGTCCACCTATCTAACCACGCACCTATCAATCCATCCATCCAAATGCATCTGTTTCAGCCCTTCTCCGGTGTATCACTGTGTATCAATTTATGTGCTCCCTCCTCCTGTTCCAACCTTTCTATTCTCTTTCTCAAACACGTTCTTTCTTTCGCAAACAATTCCAGCACGGTCTTCCTTCCTGACAGCCCTGCGCCTGAGTAGACTTGACATAGCCGACAAAGCATTTGGCCAAAACAGCCCGTGCCATTTCAGAAGTGTGGTGAGCATGAAAAAGATCGCTGGAATCTCTTCCCACAGCTCGATTGATGAGCGGTCCACCGGGATGAGAAGGAATGAACCTGTCGAGCGCCTCAGTAGTCAAAGAGCACAGTTGACATCAGAAGGGTTGCCGGACCAAAGCACCTGACTAGCAGTCGGCCGTCAACGATCGTCCAAGTGAACTCAAGTGCATCCAAATCTTCATGGGTAAAGTCACGAGCACCTCAGTTGTGATGCTTACAGGCTGGTTGAGGCAACCTGAAGCCACTGGAGGCAATCAACCCTGCCTGTATCTGCTTCTTTGACCTGCCTTAAATCCAATGTTTCTTGCTCAACTTCTGCACTTGTGTTTTGCCTGCACACACGCAAGTACGTGAATAGTTGTTTCTTTGAACAATACTTTCCAAAAGAGCAAAGGTCGAACTGAAGAACTGAAGAAATGGCCGAATGGGCACCAGCACAGCGCTGTGCTGGTCAATCCAGTTGAATCATTCCTGCATAATAAGGGCGCAAAGCTGTTGATGGGTATCTTGTCAGAAGTTGCTGATGCAGATTTGAGTGGAAATGGAGCGGTCCTGTGACGCTTTCGGGGCCTTCCACTTGGGGACTCCATGACTCTGCAGTGCTGACTCTTGAGCATAGGATGCTGATGGGTTCTTGCAAACTGCCATGTCTGTGGCCAAATTAAACTATCGTCTCATGCACCAATGTGTGTAAAAGAGAAAATGTCACTGAGGCCTTTACCTGCCGCATGGTGTCACTTCCATTGCGCCATACGTCCTGTCCGTTTTTACGACATGATTCTGTTTCAGTGGTGCACGCTGTATCACCCCGGCCTCAAGCTCTTCCATGGCTGCCAAGCCATCTGCTTCTATGAGAAGGCGATATACACCTTTGAGTCTTTGAGTACATTCCGTTCGACTGATTGTTGCCATTGATGAGTCTTCCAGTGTTTTTGCTTCTACTAATTCCAAGTCAGGAGCGTTCTCTCAGCTTCGATGCTCCGGTTGCAAGGCCTTCCATCGCGTCTCCATGCGCGCTTCAAACATGGAGCCGCTCCGACACTTTGGAAACAACACAAAAGCTGGCATTCTGCACATTCCCACCAAGAAGTCCTTTCCCACACTCCTTTCCCATGTAGCCTCAGGCTCAGTACTTGCGCATCGGAAAAATGCGAACATTGCAGTCCCTGAGCCGCAGGCTGACAAAGGGATGAAGCCGTCTCCCCCCTGCGGGGCGGGGTTCATCACGTCTTAGCCGTGGGTAGCATCTGAACTCGTAAAGCACGCCGTCCTTCAGAGCCGTTTTTCTTGTGATGAGAAAAAAAGATGATTGAAAAGTCAACCGGGAAAGTATGGAAGTTTAAAAGTCAACAAAAAATCTGAGTGCTGTTTAAAAGTACCAGCACACATCTCATGCACCTCTGAAACTCCCTGACCACAAATATCACAGCTACACTCAATACCAGCAGGAGCCATTTCATCAAGGTTCCTTGGTAACTGCGCATGTGCTTGCTCAGCGGTTTCGCACAATCTTCTGAAAGCGTCCAATAAACTGCTAGCATGCGTGGAAACATAGAACCATGCCCTCAAACATAAACCAAAGGCCTGAAAAACATAAAGTCTTCAAGTGTCCAGGTGTATTTCTTCTTCCGCGGTTCTTGACTTCCATCTGCTCGTTCTCCTCGAACCACACTACAGCAGCAAGCTGTTTCTCTCTATCAACGACATGCAGACTGCTAGAATGTCCAAAGCGAGCTAAATCCAACTCAACAAACATTGGAATCTGCTTCTGTCGGTGGAACTTCTTGGCTCCTTTGTCTATCATTCTGGCTGCAGCAACCCAAACATAAGCTGATCGCTGGTCCTGCACAATGAGAGGCTTTCAATCCACAACCCTGGAGTTCCCCAAAACAAGGGGTCTCGACCTTGGCAATTGGTACGTCCAGACCATCAGAAACCATCTGCTTAATGTCCCTGGCATGACGTGCCACTGCTTGACCAGCCTGAGAAAGAATGCTTTCTGTAGTGTGGTTTGCTGAACAATAGCGCAGGGTGCAGGGATGCCTGTGGCGGATCGTCATCGTCATCGCCCGTGTATCCAATGACAACGTCTTCAACCAGCTCCTGGGAGGGGTAAGGGATCAAAAAAAATAGAATCAAAAAAACAATGGGGATCAATAAAAAAGAAAAGGTAATCAAAAAACCTATATTCTAGCCCACTGAGGATGGTTGGGGTAGTAGTAGTAGCAGTAGTAGCAGTAGCAGTAGCAGTAGTAGTAGTAGTAGCAGTAGCAGTAGCAGTAGTAGCAGTAGTAGTAGTAGTAGTAGCAGTAGCAGTAGCAGTAGCAGGATTAGGAGACCAAGGGAAGAGGATGGAAGGAGTAGGGGACCAGGAGAGTGTACCTCCCTAGGAGCTCCTTCCTAGTAGGGAGCTATTTCTACTGGTGAACCATTGTTCGAGTAGGGCTACTCAATGACTGGACGGCTACCATCATTGGGTACCTACTTTCCTCCCACAGAGCTGCCTCTAATAGAAAGCAATCAAGCCTCTATTTGCGCAAGCAGGGGACCAGGAGACGGAAAGACGAGCGGAGTAGGAGAGCAAGAGACCAGCGGACCAGGAGACAGAAGGACCAGGATACCAGGGGACCAGCGGACCACAGGACCAGGAGACCGGAGGACTAGGGGACCAGTGGACCAAAGGACCAAGGGACCAGGGGACCAAAGGACCAAAGGACCAGTCGACCAAAGGACCAAGGGACCAAAGGACCAAGGGACCTTATTACCAGAGGACCCGCAGACCACAGGGCCAGGAGAGCAGCAGAAGAGGCCTATCAAGGAATATATGTTTTCTTTGTTGACTCGCTTTTTTTTGTTGTTGATCCTCTTTTTATTTTTTGTTGATGCTCGTTTTATTTTTTTTGATACCTATGCCTCCTGGGAGCAGTGGGATTCGCGGGAATGGATGAAAACATATGAAAAGCCAGCGAAGTCCTGAGTTGCATGTCGGTTCTTGGAAGGACTTTCAGTTTTAGGAGCTTCTTCAGCAGGAGCATCTTCTTTGGAAGTTCCTGCACTGCAGAAGTTAAGCTGCAGTTCGCCTCCAAAAGAGGACAGTGATTGGGTCCTGATTCTGGTTTCTCTGAAGTTACAGGCTGTGATGCAATTGGAGCAGAAGCCTCCTCTGCTACCTTCCTTGGATGTCAGGTCGAACCAGCCAAACAGTAGAGAATGCCGCAGGCTGCTGGACGCTCATTCTACTCTTCTAAGTCCCAGACAGCTCTTTCTTGCCTTCGCAGAAAAAGATCGACGTCCATCAGATCGAACAAATCAACGCCTCAAACTGTTCCCGGTGCCTCGCACATCTTCCGCAGACACCTTGATGTGTGTTTTCAAGTGCAAGCGGCAGGCATGTTTCAAACACTGCTTCTATCTCCCCTGTTTTCTCAGTCTGTTGATGCTGTTTTGCCAAGGTGCACTGCGCTTTGGCTTTCGAGGTGGCATCAATGAGCTGTTTGGCATATGCGATGATTGTACTTTCCAAAGAGACTAAATGATGCTTTTGGATAGATGCGTACATGCGAGCCAATGTTGGTATTTTGTAGACGGGATTCAGTGTTTATCAAACTGGCAATTACATATCTATACATATCTCCTGTTCACATCAAGCCGCTACAAAACTGCTATTATTGTTGTTTCGGGTGATTGTCATCATACAATAGTCTCACGGCTGTGATTAGAGGCGGCTGCAGTGGTTGACTGTTTGGATGTAAAAGTGGAGCATTTGCCAGGCATTTCGCAATCAAGTTGGTTTGCCTGGACCCTCCCCATGTTTCCCACCTGAGCCGGAAAATAATAGTCGAGTCTTGTCTATGAAAAGGATGGCCAATTCTTTGGTTCTCTCTGACTTTCTTTCTGATTCCACTACCGCTTCGGCTGTATGCTATGATGGGGCTCTGGGGGCAAACCACAGATAGGTATTAGTGGAACAAAAAGAGTTCACAATGAAAGGAAAATGAAGGGCTGTCAAGGAAATGACAAGAAAATGAAAAAAACTTCAAGGAATGTGGAAACCAAGGGAAAATGAAGGACCTTCAAGGACATGACAAGAAGAGTGAACAGCAGGAGCAGGGCGACGAAAGGACCTGGCAACCAAAAGAACAAAAAATGAAAGGCAATCGAAAGGGCAGGAAAATGCAATGGTTTGGAAGGAAACGACAAGAAAATCACACAAAAATCCAGGCCTGAGGACATGAAGAGAGCATGAAGAGATTTGCAAGCAAATGAAAGGAAAATCAAGGGATGTTCAAGGAGATGAAAAAAAGACAAGAAAACATCTGAAATGACAGGCAGCGATGGTCGGACGTGAAGCGCAGGCGTGTTTACCGGATGTTCGGGTTTCAGAGTTTCATGGCTTGGGTTAGTTCCACACATGCCATGCGCAGTGCCTGTCAGCCAATCTTGCGTTGACAACCTAAAGAAAGTGCAGTGATCGATCTTGAATGGCGAAGCCAGTGGCCCTAGCAGCAAACAATTGAGGCTCAGGGAGACTGAATAGAGTCAAGCCCACAAAAAAAAAAGAAACGACTACCACTACTACCACTACCACTACGACTAACACTACCACTACCACTACGACTACTACTACCACTACGACTACGACTACGACTACTACTACTACTACTACTACTACTAGTACTACTACGATGAGGACTACGACGACGACGACGACGATGACGACGACTACTATCAGCGTCCGCATGATAAGAGGATCGCGCCAGAGGCGAATGACTAAAAAGCCTTTCCCTTTACCATCTCTGCATAGGAGTTGAACCATCCGGGGTCACAAAGCGATCCACATGATGATGTTTGGGGGTGGGTTGAAGATATTGACCAATGGTCATGAAATCAACATTGGCGGCTCTTAAATCATCCATGACTTGATAGACTTCTTGTTTCTCTTCTCTCAAACCCACCATGATGCCTGATGTTGTGAAAATAGTGGGGTCCATCTAGGCAGGCCTAAAGCGTCCCGTCAATGTCGCCCTAACACAAAACCAATTCAATACAGAAACATCTATGCAGCAAAAACCCTCTTTATGTTGGAGGCATTCCTTATTGCCATTTTTCTGCAGTCCAACTCAAAATGGGCCCTGATGAAGTTCTACATTTATTGAAAATATACTGAGAGATAACAGTGACGAGCTCTATTTTTGCGAGGATGGAGGTCTGATAGTAGTAGTCGTCGTCGTGGTGGTGGTGGTGGGAGTGGGAGTGGGAGTAGGAGTAGGAGTAGGAGGAGCAGTCGCAGCAGCAGGAGCAGCAGCAGCAGCAGCAGTAGTAGTAGTAGCAGCAGCAGCAGTAAGCTGGTAAGCTTGAATACTTTTTCTAGGGCTCCACGAATACTTTCCTGGGCTTGTGTGCTACCCTTTTGACAAGTTGTTTGGAGCAACCAAGTTGATTGAGTTTTGATAAGGGCTTTGCACATGGTTTTCAGGTATGATGTCCATAGACCAAGCAAACATCAGAAGAGTTCAGAAAGGGCAAAAAACTCTTAGCGTTCTCACCCACTATATCAACTATTCAGGGTGTGCGAATACTTGTGCAAAAAAATGTATATGTTTAAAATATGCTCCCCATTTTACGAATTGGGATCGGACATTAGCAACGAAAAAATGATTAAGGAAATAAGCGGAGAACATCAAAAAGATTTGTATACAGTACGAGAGAATGAAAGGTTGCGCACACAAAAAGGCGGCCACGTTGGACAATTACGCCAATGGTTACAACAGAAGGAGCCAGAGACCGAGATGGAACGATGAGAACACGAGGTGAAGAGTGGCAATTAAAAGACTAGGCCAGGAGTCTTGTTGCTCAATTCTGCTTCGTTCCATACGTTGGTTCGATCCTGTGTTTTTGTTTCTTGATCCTGGTATTTTGACTTTCTTTAACCACAATACAACATGCAGCTTATGCGCCCATGTCTTTCACCACGGCTGCGAGTATGTCCTCCTGTCAAATTGCCATAGGCCTTTGCCGCAATGAGGTAAATCAAAGAAAGTTTGACATTGCGGAATAACTGTTTCCTAAAAGAACCCCATTTGCGATGGCAAACCATTCACTTCCGTCTTGATCTACCTCATCTGCGTCTTCACAGCTCAAGATTACATGGCCACTCAAGCTGCCAGAGTGTTCTGAGATGTTTGTACAAAAATGCTGCAGAAACAATGTCAAGTCAACAAACCAAGTGTTTAATCGAAACGGTCAGCCATCGGGCCAAGCTGAGACAACTGGCGGGACCTCGGGACAGCGCCTGTGGAGAAAGACAGGCATCCAAATGTGCCTAACACCTTCTGCGCATGCATCATAGATGCCGTTGGCGCAAGAATTTGCTAAAAATTGAGTCTGCCACGTGGGTCTGCTTCTCTCACTCAGGCCAAATAGAACGGTCTTATCTCGCCGCTCAGGCCAGGTCAGCACCCTGCAGTGTGCGAAGACTATCTTGCCACATTGCCAAGTGCCAAAAGCAGCTCGGGCTAAACAGCAACTTCCAAGTTACGAAAGAAAAGGAAACAGTAGCCGCAGTAGTAGCAGCAGCAGCAGCAGCCGCCGCGGTGACGACGACGACGACGACGACGACGACGACGACGACGAATGCATGTCGGAGAACGCACTTGTATGGCGTGAAAGTAAAAAACACTTTGCAAGCATTTGCATGGAATGCCCATGTTGATGTTCGGTTGCGGGTCTTGTACATTGTACCCCATGGCCGTGGCCAGGGTTTCATGATTGCGCAATTTCATTGGGGAATGGACTGCATCGGGTCTGGGTTGGGATGCTTCGGACTCCCAATTCTATCGGGGAGTGAGACGCAGAGGAACGTGGAGGAATCTGAGGAAGAACTCAAAGGAAAAGAAGACTTCCAGAGAAGAATTTAGAAGAGGTATATATC